CCTTCCTTCCTTCCTTCCTTCCTTCCTTCCTTCCTTCCTTCCTCCCTTCCTTCCTTCCTTCTTTCCCTTCCTCCCTCCCTCCCTTCCTTCCTTCTTTGTTTTTTGCCTGTGTCTTTGTTCCTGTGCAAACTCTGTAGACAATGGCAGTTGGATGTCTTCTCTTAGTGCATGTCTGACTCAGCATAGCTGTGATGCAAAGATGACAGCTTCCTTTAGATCAGTTTGGCCTTGTTCCCAGTTCTCGTTGCTTCGACCCTGTTTTGCAAGGGTGATTCGTTAGTGATATTGGGGAAACTGCTCAGCCTGCTCACTGGGATTCACTACTGCAGAGTTGAGTGGATCTCTTACTTTACTGGGATTTAAATCGGCTTGTGAACGTTACCTGCTCTTAATACCACGCCATTACTTTCAGCTGATGTGTGGTATGCTGTTAGTGTTGTTACTGGCATCTTCTCATTGACAACATGCCAAGTTACTTTTTGGTAGTGCTAAGCAAATCTTATTCTCTCATCTAAACCCCTTTGCATGCAGTGGTATGTTTGTGAGGTTGGGTGACTGTGTCCACTGCACAGTATACATTGGTAGAGATCATTCAGCATCCTTTTATATGCTATATAACTTTCCAGAAGAGATTTGGTATTCTTGTGTATGTCTTACATCCTACCAAAGCACACCGAGTCATAAGAAAAGCATGATGGCTGCTAAAACCTAAAGCTACTGTAGCTGGTGTAATTCTGTAGATCTTGAGTCTGTATAGAAGAGGCAGGCAGAAATAAGCATCAGTAAATAGACTATCATCCACTTAAGCATCGAAAGAAAAAGCTCTCTAGGATTTAAAAAGATGTGTGAAGATAGCCAAAACAGTTAACTGAATTAGCAAACTTATCAGTGTTAACTTTAAGTTCTAGAAGAGTCTCAATTGAGAACAGAAAGTATTTTCTGATATGTAGCCAACAAGTATCTTGGTGAAACAAAATGAATAGCATTTGACATTCGTTGACTTCTCAGAATCAATATATGTCAGTGAATATCCCTGAGACTATAAAATATGAAGTGCACAAGTCATCAATTCCAATAATGAAATATAATAATCTACAGAAGTATTGAAAACTGAAGGGGCATGTACACTGGAAGGCATCGTTGCTATAATCCTGCAGAGTAGAAAATAGTGTTCCTTAATCTTACCCTGTCTTTAGTGACATTCATGGAGTGGTGGAGAGGACACACTGTTTATTCCTTCTGCTGCGTGCTTCCCTAACCTCTACCCACTTCATCCCTGCCCTCTTCATCCCTCCCCCATCTCACCGTGGATAAGGAAATGGGCATTTAGATTACATGCCTGAAGTATCGAGGCTGGGGCTGGTGCCCTCATCAGTAGAATGAAGCCTTAAAGCTGACAGACTCTGCTGTGGGAAGATGATAAAACATTAAGATGGAGGACACAACACAAGTATCATCTGTGTTGCGTCTGACAGGGCATGAGACAACTCCATTAACTCCACTAATTACCACAAGCCAAAGAAAGTCACGGTTGGAGTGTATTAAGAAGGAAACATGCTATAAAACCAAGAGTGTAAATCTGAGGCTATTTGTAGAATCTCTCAAAACTGAAGTAGACATGGCTTGAGACCACCATTAGTGCTGGTCTTGGGTAGAGAAGAGGCAATTTGACAGACTTAGTCAGTGATGATAATGGGGAATGACCAGTCCTGTAATAGAGGCTTAGAAATGAGGGTGTGCCATGACGGTGCCAGTCAGTGGATGTGATGTGCAGTGTGACTTAATGCCCCTGCAGTAGTTTAAAGCAAACCTGAGACTTGAGAATAAACGCTAGTCTGTGCACTTCAGGACACAGCAGAACCTGTGCTCAGACATGAAGATCAAGAGCACAGAAAAGCCAGCGCTGAAACTAAATATTATGAAAGCTGGTGAGTAAATATTTCAAAGAATCAGGATTATTTTGGGGAGAGCTCTTTATGAGGCAAGATACAGTATATAATTCCTATATGCCATGATACAGGAATTCTAAACATATGGCTAGAAATAGCTACTGTCAGGCATCTAGAGCAGAACTGTGAAGAGTTTGAAGTAGGACATGTGGAACACCATTTCTGATGGGGGCCATGCTCTCTGAGGCTAGTTCCCAGAAATCTTGGGGCCAAGTCCTTAGAGGGACCAGATAGTTCGGCCTCTGGAGGATGAAGATGCCTGTCCTCTGAAGCCTCCTCACACCTGTGTGCTTTATTTTCCTGACTGATGTAGTTGATAAGATGGAGCACAAACCATTCTTTTTTTTTTTTTTTTTTTTTTTTTTGGTTTTTCGAGACAGGGTTTCTCTATGTAGCTTTGCGCTTTTCCTGGAGCTCACTTGGTAGCTCAGGCTGGCCTCGAACTCACAGAGATCTGCCTGGCTCTGCCTCCCGAGTGCTGGGATTAGAGGCATGCACCACCACCGCCCGACAACAAACCATTCTTATGGTTGTTTTTTCTCTGAAGAATGTGTCTTCTTCTTAGCTCAGGTGGTAGGTAGTCTTCAGCCAGTCAAGTCTCTCTGAGTATTACATGAGGGTAGATATAGTTCTCCAAAAATGTGAGAGGATCCAAATATTACTTGGGCGGTTTTGAACCAGAGTAGATTTGGGAGCTGATTGCTCTCCTCATACTCTGAAGAGAAGCTTAATTTTCTAAATTGGCACATAGAAGTATTTGTTGATAATATTTTTGTAAGGGCATTTTTGGGGGGAGGGGGTACATGTCAAACCTTCTGTTTCCCAAAGTTTTACTCTAAAACTGTTAAGTCTATAAAATTTAAAACAATGTCATAGTATCCTCACCACCTGGGCCTTAGTTACACTCGCTTTGTCATGTGCCCATCCGTCTGTCAAGCCATGCCGATTATTTTTTGAGGCATCTAAAATTGCAAACCTCTATATGCTTCCAGCTAAATGCTTCAGCATACCTCTCACTAGCAAGGGTTCCAGACTTGCTTATAGCTTTCTTTTGGTATAAAATTTACATGCACAGCACATTCACATGCACTGTATTTTCATAAATACATGGAGTACTATATAGAGGAAAACCTGCCATTCTAGAAAGCTCTCAGATGGCCTTTCATCAATCACTGCCCCCCATAGGACAAGCACTGCTCTTTTCCTATTATGAGTTAGACCTTTCTGTTTTAG